AATTCGTTAACATTTAATTAAGGATGTGATTATTAAACGGTAACCCACAAATTTGTCTATTGTTCCTTCAATTCATCAAGTTAATATGATAATATACAATGATCAGTATATAGATAATAAGACCAGCTTTTAAATCGCCCCTACGTTTGCTATTTTGTAAGACAACTACCTTAAAGTTGCCCTATAGGCTTACTTGTTAATTTGTAACAAGGCAAACATTGACTTGCACTTTGTGATTAGATTATGTTACCCTCTTTACTCTAGGTCACATTCTAAAACACTATCTATAATACTCTGTATGCAGCAATATTATATATCTGCATCAAGAGAACTATCACGATTGAGTCGGGTATGTGAGGCTCCAGTTATTCAATATTTTGCTGAAACTATTTTGGGAATAACAACTATTAGGAGCTTTGATCAAGAGTCAAGATTCCAGCCAACATACATGAAAATAGTAGAAGCATATTCTCGGCCTGAATTCCAAGTTGTTGCAGCAATGAAATGGCTATTGTTGCAGTTGGATGCACTCTCTTGTATTACATTTGCCTTCCTTTTGGCTCTCTCGTTGTACTTTATAGAAAGCATAGATCCTGGCACGTTCTAGCTTTCGTCTGATATGCTATCTTTTTCTTTAGTTTGTTTCCCTCTACAGTAGTGAATTTGATATTACAACTTCTGTTATCATGAACAGAAATCGCAGGATTAGCTGTGACGTATGGATTCACCTTAAACGGCAAGCTTTGTGGAGTAATACGATGTTTATGTAGTTGGGAAACCAAAATGATATCAGTGGAGAGAATTCTTCAGTACATGATTTCCTAGTGAGGCTCCTCTTATCATACAAGAAAACAGGCCAGATTGTTCATGGCCATCAGGTGGGGAAATCGATATTCATAATTTACAGGTCAAGTATGCTCCCCATTTGCCTCTTGTGCTACATGGTGTGACATGCACTTTTTCGGGAGGGAAGAAAACTGGTATTGTTGGAAGAACAGGAAGTGGTAAGTCAACTCTGATACAAGCACTATTCCGGATTGTTGAGCCTACAAGTGGTTGTATTGTGATTGATGGCATTGACATCTCTTCCATTGGACTCCAAGATCTGAGGTCAAAACTAAGCATTATCCCCAGGATCCAACCATGTTTCAAGGAACTATACAAAGCAATTTAGACCCACTAGAGCAGTACACAGATGCACAAATAAGGGATGTGAGTGTCAAATTTTTCGGTCTATGAAAAACAAACCATACATGCTAACTCAAATGTTTCGTACTTTTCTTGTAGACTTTGGATAAGTGCCAGCTTGGAGATGAAGTCAGGAAGATGGAAAGAAAGTTGGATTCTAATGGTATGTCTTAATGCGTTTCCAATTACTCTTGTGACGTAACCTGTATCGTATATAGCAGAATTTTAAACCATACTAATGTAAATGTCTGTTTATTGCAACAATACATATAGTGCATGAGAGCGGGGAGAACTGCAGCATGGGTCAGAGACAACTAGTTTGTCTTGGGCGAGTACTACTCAAGAAGAACAAGGTGTTGGTACTTGATGAAGCAATCGCCTCAGTTGATACAACCACTGATAATCTTGTACAACAAACTCTTAAGTTCCACTTCTCTAATTGTACACTCATTACCATTGCACATCGGATCACCAAGGTTCTTGACAGCGACATGGTCTTGCTTCTAAGTCATGGTAACTTTAGACCTTCAGTTACTTGTCTCTAGACCTTTTCAAATGGGAGGGGCCCCATTAAGGTCCCTTGGCTGACCCTTTTATAAAAAGGTCAGATCAGTTATGGGCTTAAATGGGTCGGGTTCTTAAAGGGACAACTTTTAACAGGCCGGATTGAGTCAGGTCGGGTCATTAACAAGTCAAACTAAAACAACTATTTTATCCTATTTTAACTATTTTTTAATATTCATATTCATGGGACGGGTCAGATCGCTTTGACTCGACTCGGCCCGTATTACCTATGACCTGACCCGGCTCGGAGACACATTAACCTTTTGACCCCACCCGACCCAATGCACAGGTCTACTCGTCTCCATATAATTTAGGCATTTTTTGTCTTTGATTGTTATACCATCTATACATTTTAATTAAGTTGATCATGCTTAATACATATAATCTCTTTTGCAGGACTCGTAGAAGAATATGATTCTCCTACAAGGTTGTTACAAAGCAAGTCATCTTCATTCTCTAAACTTGTAGCAGAGTACACATCAAGGTAATTTTTATGAAAAATATTCGGAATAAGAAAGAGTTTTCAGGTACCGCTTGGGGCAGTGGGTTTTTGGATAACATGACAGAAGGGTGGACGACTCAGTCTTAACTGTTGACATTTGATGAAGGGCTCAACATAGACGCAGTAGCAAGAGACTGGAAACAAGTCATTAATTAAACTGTCCTTGAAGTGGCAATTTTTCCAATTGCATGTTGGCCAAGGATGAAATCATGGATGCTAAGTTGCTAACTGTAATCCGATACAACGTACACAGCAGGGCTCTTTCTTTGTCCGTTAAGGAAATGAAGATGGAGTAGGCACCACGAGTCCACGAGCGACAAATAGGACGATACAACTTTGATTCTGCTTATTGCATTTTATGAATTATTATACCCAACCTGGAATTATCACTGATGTACTATTTGATCACTAGTTGCTCATTTAAACAAATTTACAAAATATTTACAATTAATACTGTTTTTGAAAGTATACAATTAGTCAACTGTTCATTATTATGAAACGTGCTCCCCAAATTTACTACGAGAGAAAAGGCTGAGTGGTAGGTTGTATGCCTGTAGCCCTGTAGAGTGGTTACCTCGTAGGAGACTCCCAATTCAGAGCATCTGCCAGACTGCCAGTTATATGTCAATAACAATCCTATTTATTTGAAACCAAAAAGGAATCAATTAGAAGGCATATGGAATCAAAACTTGTTGAGGAGACCTACTTCAATAGAACTCTTTTTGGGTTAATAAATAACGTGAACTTATTGTCCATGTTTATGAGTATGCATAATTGTGACTATTTCCCAAAACCTTTCATTGGACAGTTAAGCATCCTTTCCTTGAATATGGTTCAGAAGTGTTTTCTATAACCTTTTACAATCATATTCATGCTACGATTAGTTATATTACCTTTCATTGGACAGTTAGGCATCCTATCCTTGAATATGATTCAGAAGTGTTTTCTCTATCATATTCATGCAACGATTAGTTATATTACCTGAAATGATATCAATCAAACATAATCTCCCCTCTATAATTATATTTCTATCTGTTATATTGCTTTAAAAAAATATCAAAAAAGGAGTATAAATACCCATGCTTGTCAAACAAACTTTCATCTCATAATAAAAAACATATAGAAAAATGGCCTTGTTGTCGTTTACTTGCTCTTTCCTATGTTTATAGGGCTCACCCCTGTTTCTTCCGTTAACAATGAACTCCTCGAAAGCTTCTATAACATCATCATAACGTACCAAAATGTGGCAAATGTCATGAACTCACCTTATTCAGAAACATCAACAGGTTTGAGCCAATTCTACAAGCATATAAACGAAAATGGAGTTGGGCCGGAGGTTATTACCCAACTGTACCCCATCCTAGACGAAAAACTAAAGTATGAAAGTCCAGCTTCCTCTATCCTCGAGGGAATTGATCTCAGTCGTATCAACCTCACCATCTTCCATAGATATGACAGGGGCAGACCCACATGTAGTCATAGTGTGTCACAGGACAACCTATTATTTTATAAAAAAAATTAAACACTAAATGTCAAGAAGTTCAGCTTGCAGCCTAGTGGTTTTTTTACCACCCATCACACGCAAGATGTGGGTTCAAACCCCATTACTGACATTTTTTTTCTTTTTTTTGCTTTATAACCTCACACCCAATTTTCAACATTTAGAAATTAAAACTTGGGATTCAGAACATTTCCCCCAAATTGTAAAACCCTAAGTCTCTAACTCCCCTAGATCGAAATCCCCAGACCCCACCCGCAGGCCCGTAGCCCCGCCGCCGTTCACCGGCCAGTTTAAGCTCCGTACTCCGTCACTCCATGTTCTCACCGTCGCCAATATAAGGTTCGTCCGTCAATGTCAATCCATGGCTCATACTTTGTGGAAAATCAATACTTTGATGTATGTTGCTCAATTACAATCCATTGTCGCTTCTGCTGCTCACAAATCTCCCGATCTTCTTCTCTGTTTTGATCTTCTCTCCGATCTCATTTCCGCCATTAATGACGAATCTAAGGTTCCATTTCTTAATTTTTTTTCTCCTTTTTATCTTTTTTCTACTTGATTAGATCTATGTTGCAGCTAATTGTTCAAAATCATGGAATTTCAGCATGTTTAAGTTTATATTGCAATCAATTTAATTATTTTTAGGTTGTTTAAGTTGAATTTTGAGAATTCTAGTTGCAAATTATACTGCCATTTGAATTGTTTTAGAGAATTATTAAGTTTTGATTGGGAATTCTTGCTTAAATTATGAATGGGCTTGATATGGATTGAATTAGGAACCTATTATGTATTTATGTTATGGACTTATGGCAAAGAAAATGTGAAGATGCATTGTTTTCGCTGCTGGTTTTGGGTGGGAGGAGGCCGGTGCGGCACTTGACATAATTAGCTATGGTTAAAGTTATCCGGAAAGGAGATCCTAGTTCGATATACTCAAGGGCTAGTGCTCTTCAAGGGTTTCTTGCTGACCATTCACATGCAGGAGGGTGGTTTTGGTGGTGGTGTAGGAGGAGGGGGTGGTTGTTGGGGCTGGGCTGGAAAGTGGCTGTTGGGTTGGGTGGGGAATTGTTTAATTAATTTTTTCTACCATTCACATGCGGACACGTGTCAAGTAACCTGCTTTTTTATGTATTTTTTTTGCTAATCATACAAGCTTTGACTATTTTTTAACATTATATACGGTTGATAGATGATGATGGGACAACCTATTACTCAAATCTTGGATCCGCCACTTTGAATGTTAAGATGGGGAACAAGTTGCCTTTGCTTTTCACAAATCAAGTCCCTCCATCTGCTATACTGTTGAAGAAGCCGCAACAGAACATGGTGAATTCATTAGCTAACAGTTCAGCATCATGCGGCTCTACCGTTCCGGAGGAGCAACACGCTTGGGTGACCTCACTCGAGGCTATGATGGACTTTGCCATCAGAATGCTGGGTACAAACTTGAGGCCAATATCAACCCCTGCTGGTAAATGGCAATTGTATACCGTGACTGGTGCAGCAAGGACTATAACGGATAAGGTATGTGGATGTCACAAGAAAGATTCCCTCCCTTTTGCAATTTATGGTTGCCTTTATAAAATGAATACCAAAGTGCGAGTTGTTCCTCTTGTTGGTGACGATGGCACCATATTGGAAGCTATTAACGTGTGTCACATGAACACGGCTTCATGGGACAGCAATTACCTCCTCTTCCGCCTTATGAAGGCTAAGCCTGGTACTCCAGTATGTCATTTCTTGGCAACTGATGACATAGTTTGGATAACTAAGTGACAAAAGAGTTTTAAAGTACGTATCTTCAACTAATGGTGTTCCTTTCTGATTCTGTTTATTTCAGCCAATCGGTACAGCCACTGCATGTAACCAGGACCGACCGTAGGAGCACCACCACCAAGTCTGCTAAGGGCACCTATCACGACACTGAAAGACACACCAGGGACAAACCGAGTCCACATCACAGATGTCATCTCTGGCGGAAAGTCAACCCGATACATCTTCAAGTTCGTCGGCCTCTTAGCTTTCTCAGGCCTGATAATGGCTTGTGGAATGCCCTAAACGTATCCAAGTTGTCGAACCACTCGATCAGGCATGTATGGCTCAATGATGCTACGATACTGGATGCAGCCAATGAAAAGAGTAGCAGGCACGCGTCGTGCTGGATCAACTCCGTACGGTAGCCAGTTAACTTCATTGTCAGTCAAATGATCCAACCTAGCCCGAAAAGCGAGAAGGCGCTCCATGCTCTTATTAGGGCACCCCGATCCGACATCTCAGGCGGACGCACGAGGAACAACAAGCTCTCTGGTCAAGGTCCCCTGCTGAGGCCGAAAACACGGAAAGTACTCGTAGATCCACGCCTGCAGAAGCGTAAGACAGCCAGCGATAGAATTAGCATCTCTTCGTGATGTTGTACCCAACTGCCAGTACATGTATGCTAGCACAGCAGAACCCCAGGAGTACTCACTAATCTGAACATCCTCAACAAACAGCTCGTTGAGGAAGGAAGGATGAGTACGGTTTCCACTCTTGTCCAAAAACAAACAACCGCCGAGTACTAACCACAGGTATGCCCTGTAGTGGAAACTGAAGGGCCTCTGTGCCTCCAAGGTCGACTCCACTATCCTCTCAGTCAGGACCCCACTACCCTGCCATACGATTTTGGTACCGCACTTCTCATTCAGCTCTTCCTCAGTCATATCCAAGGTAACCGAGCACGCGTCCCGTAAAATGTCCGTGCTAGGAGTAGTGGAAACCATGGAACCGTCGACACGAAGCCCTAGAATATGATACACATCATGCAGCATGATCGTGATCTCCCCAAAAGGCATGTGAAACGTGTTCGTGTCTGGCTGCCATCTCTCAACAAAAGCAGAAATCAAGGGCCAGTCAAATCGCCTGAACATGATCCCGGGTAAGTGAGATAGACCACTGCCATCAATCGGTTCCAGGTGCTCCTGCGGAAGACGATCACGCCAGTTACCCAATTCAGTACACAACTGTGTCCTGCTCAAACACCGCAGAACGTTTCGCTCCTGCCCACCCCATATGTAGCCACGTGACCCCCAAAACTTGGAATAACAGTACCATCCTCAGGCCCACCTGGCATCGGCTCCTGCACCACCCATGACTCTGACGAGCTGGTAGAAGCTTGAGCTGGTTCACTACTACTAACATATCTCCCATGGTCACCCCTATACACAGTACGGTAATCCTGAGGGTCATACTGTGCATCTCCAACAGATTGACTTCCTCGATCTTCATCCTCATCGTCAGATGAAGGCACTCCAGTAGACGAATACATGGGGGCGCTGCCCTGTGACTGATGCTCCCCCGACCACGCACCAGCAGTCCCATACTGCTGCTCATGGTGAAACGGTGCCTGTGAATTTCCTACACCACCTAACTCCCTCCTAACAGACGCATTCAAACGTCTTGATCTTGCATGACGAGGACCAGACCCCTCAATCTGCATTAAATAAATAAGTACAAAAGCATATTTCAATAATAATTCATATTCGAAAAAATCAAATCAAAACTATAATAAATCAAATCAAATAAACAATAATAACAACATTACTAATAATAACAATAATATTATTCTTACAATACTAATACACTACTAACAATAACAACACACTAATAACACACTACAAATAATTTCAACACATAACAGACCAAATCAAAACTATAATTAACCACAAAATTGCCAAAATTAAAACGCAACAACGACAACCCAAAAAAAAAAACAATTACAATAACAATAACAACAATTTAAGTCAACAACCATAATACATAACAACAGCAGCAAAAACCAATACAAACCAAATTAAATTTACATAACCATAACAATACATAGCAACAACAAACTTATTAAAATAAAATCAAGATTTATTGCTAAACTATAATTATTGCAAAACTAAATCAACAAAAAATACATAACAATAAAAAATTATTTTCATGCCACAAATGAAGAAAAACATAAATTAAAAAACAAAGGAAAAACAAAAAAACACAAAAAAAAAAAGGCAAAAACAGAAAAACAGAAAAAAAATAAAAAAAATCTGGAAACACCACTTCCGCCCAGAACTTCCGAAAATTTCAGGCGGAAACCCTACTTTCGCCTGATATTTCCGGAAGTTCCTCTTGACTTCCGGAATTTCTGGGCGGAAGTCCCCTTCTCCAGTTTTTTTTTTTAAATTCAAAAATTTAAAAACAAAAAAAAAAACTCACCGGCTCGCCGCCGCCACCACGACCACCAAACGTCAACCTAAATCTTCGTCGGCCTGCCATTGTCGGATTCAACGTTTGATTGCTAGATTTGCTTGAGTTTGAGTAACCTTCAACTATTTTGGTTTTTTAAAAAAAAAAAATCTGATTTTTTTTTTTACAAAATTTCTGATTTTTTGGAAGGTTTTAGAGAGAGAAAGTGTCAAAGAAAGATTTTGTGAGATGGGAAATGTCTCATAAACCCCTAACTTAGTTTATCGAGTATTTATATACGGAGGGCAATTTAGGAAATTCAAATATAAAATGTGAACGTCACCTAATAAATTGCGAACGACGTTTAACATCACCCTATTTTTGGCTGTTAATTTGTAATTTACGAGTAGCATATATAAGTTACTCTATGATAGTGTATGTAAAATAATCTTGGATTAAAACGGTCCTTTAATAACATTGACCTGTCTTTAAATACTAAAATAGACAAGCTTCTACAAATACAATAACAAACATTATTTCCTCAAATCCTCAATCATTGCAGGCTATACTCATTATTAAGGGTATTATCTTCTATATATCTTTTCCTCTTCATAATAAGCTATAATGATACCATAATTCAAGAAAGTTTATATGCTGTATAATATAATTTTATTTATTTTTATTTTTTTAAGTTTTCTACTTATTGATATTGATGTTAAAAGTTATACATGTAAAATATTAAGCATGAAATTCAAAAAGTTTATGCACCTGAAAATAAACAGATAAAGTATCAATTATAAATGTTCATAATTTTTTTAAAAGTGTTCGTTTGTTTACGTGTTTATTTTTTTTACTAAAAGTTCATTTTATATAATGTATTCATATATTTTTATGAAATGTTCATTTTATTAGATATGGTCCAGCTATTCTATGATTGTATGATAAATGTTCATTTGTAATATACTAAATATTCATTTATTTTTTCTTGACATGTTCTTTTTTTATTACTAAATGTTCTTTTTTTTTCCATGTTTATTTTTTTTATTACTAAATGATCATTTTATTTTTACGTGTTCATAATTTTTTGACTAAATGTTCATTTTCAAGGTTATAGTCCATCAATTTTATGATTATATGATAATCATGTTCAATTTTAATATACTAAATAATCATTTTTTTTAAACATGTTCACTTTTTAGTACTAAATTTTATTTTATTTTTACACGTGTTTATTTTTTTATTATTGAATATTTATTGTTTTTTACGTGTTCATATTCTATTAAACTAAATGTTCATATTATAGGGCGTGGTACAGCTAAGACTTATCGGCAACTTAGCCCAAGAATTTATTGAGAGGTTTGGGCTGGTAGTTGTCTGTGGCCCATGAATAATAAGATCTTTTAAATCTGAATGTGATTCCACAAAATCAATAGCTGATTTCAAATACTCAATATCATCTTTTTAATTGCCTCGTGAATTTTACTTACAGCGTACCACAATGGTTTCAAGTGATATCTCCGGCCTTTTCTACACAAGTTGCATGAATGAGGATATTACCACAATACCCTTGTAGTAGATCCATATGCTTCTGTAATCTTGACCGTCCGTTTACGAATATGTAAAGTTTGACGTGTTGATCGTACGCTAATCCATGTGCCATGCATAGAATGCGCCGCATGAAGCGCATGTTGAACCTCAAATGTACTTAGATTTTTTTTTTTTTTTTTTTTTTTGACAAAAGAGCTATCAAATAAAAGAAGAAAAAAAAACCCAAAAACAACAATTGTCAACAAAAAACTAAAATAGAAAGTACAACAACTAACGACGTCGGGCACAACCAGCCAACCACTGAGTCGGAGTAATCCACAAACGAGGAATCTTTTGAACCTGGCAAACCAAAAGAGACTGAACCGAAGCCCGCAACTCCTGAATGAGCCACCAAGTAGAAATTTCCATTGAACCAGAAGGAGGAAGGAGAGCATGGAGGGCAGCACAATCTGTATAAACCCGGATTTTCAAGAAGCTTTTACGAATAGCAAATTCCAAACCCCAGACACAAGCCTGAAGCTCGGATTGCAACGCTGAACTTGCCATAAAAGCCCGACAACCCCTCCCAGAACCTCAGAAGAATGAAGATCACGGACCATCCAGTTGGCTCCCACCCTGTAAGTAGAACAATCCCAGGCCCCATCCACAATCAAACAAGCCGTTGGAGAAATATAAGGTAACCCTCGTAGACAAAGCCACCTGACATCCTGCCTAGCCTCCAATCAAACTAATCAAAATGAGAAGACCTTGCAAACCTCTTCCAATCTAGAGCCTTCATATTACAAAGAACCCAATCTAACGCCAGACCAACAATTGACCTAGGCAACCAAACAACTTTCCTAAACCTCGATTGATTACGAGAAATCCAAATAGCCCAAAGGAGAGCAAATAACAAAGCAATGCCCTTCCAATTTCTCAACGACGAAAAAAGAGAAATTGTACTCAAGAACCAAATACTAAACGGAGGAAACTGCATAAGATCCCATTGGATGCCCAACGCTCCAGATAACCAAAGACTACAGATA